AACAATTATAGCTTACTGTAGTGGTTCTGGTGTATACAGCCTGTCCATGCAGATTTTTTAATGTAAAAGCTACTTTTTCAGAGAAAATGCAGTGTTGACATTGGTGCCTAGTAACACCCCTAGAGGCAGCCACTCAGAAAGCCACTAGAGGTGCATCCTAGTCCAGTGCTGCACAGTGGTCTAGGAAACTCTCTGCATATAAATGCTGAATGTTCCCTATAGAGATGCATTGATTCAATGCATCTCTATGAGGAGATGCTAATTGGTGCAGCACAGCATTTTGCCGCACATTCACAATAGCCTCCAGATGCTTTCCTAAGGGAAAGCATTGAAATAGCTGAGATCATATAGTTTGATGAACACATTTGTATTCCTGACACAATAGTATTCTTTTAACTTTTTGTAGAAATAAAATCCCCTTTTTAAGAGTTATTTGTCCAGTCCAATGTGTGTTGGGCAAGTATGTGAACACTACACAGTTCACTGTGCCATGCTGTACTCCATTCAGTGTAGTTTTTCTTAAGGTTAAAGACAATATTGATGTAACAGTATTAATAAATCCACCAAGCAACCAATTATTCAACACAAACATCTCTTTTGGCTTAACCCCTTAAGGACAGAGCCAATTGTACAAGTTGTGATCAAAACAAAATGTAAACAAAATCCTAGAATTTGCGCTATATGTGGTTCAATCATATTTCACCTCTTTCATATTAAGTGCACCCACACGTATTATATATAATTTTGTTCAGGAGAAACATGGCTTTCATTTCATATTTCAAATATGTCAAGATGAAATAAAATTTTATATGAATAAAATCTAAAAAAAAAAAATGAGAAATTAAGAAATGTTATTTTTCAAGTTCTGCATGACATTTTAACTGTGAATGTCATGATAATGTTGGCTTTTACTGAAATAAAATACACATATTTGTATTCAGAAATGTCTCATGAGTACAACAGTACCCCCCACTATGTTTGCGCATTGAAATTTGCCAGATTGGTTTGCTGGGCCCATGTTGCCTTTGAGACCGTATTGTAGCCCCAGCATGAAAAACCCCATCATGGCATACCATTTGTAAAAGTAGGCAACCCACTTTATTCAAAATGGGGTATAATACATTTTACGGATCTAAAACACTCATATTTGTGTAGAGTAATGTCTCTGGAGTACAACAGTACCCCTCAAGTTCAGGTTTTATGATGATTTAGAAAGTTACAGGGTCAAACATAAGATTTGCCAATTTCTGTTTTTGCAAATTGCTATTTGCCAGATTGGATATGTTGCCTTTGAGACGGTATGGCAGCCCAGAAATGAAAATGAACCCCACCATGACATACCATTTGAAAAAGTAGACAACCCAGGGTATTTAAATGGGGTGTGTCCAGTCTTTTGTAGTAACCATTTGCCAAAGTTAGCATTTATATTTATTTTTTGCATTTTGTTACACAAAAACTGCACTTTTACTGGTGATACCATTGTAATGATAAGTTTTATTGTTTTAAAGCACTCTTATTTGTGTTCAGCAAAGTCTCCCGAGTAGAACAATACCCCCCATGTACAGGTTTTAGGGTGTTTTGGAAAGTTACAGGGTTAAATACAGGGCTTGCCAATTAAATTCTCTGCATTGGTTGTCATTAATAAAATTAAATAAATATTTTAGATCAATAATGAAATATATATGTATAATTTAAAAAACTGCTAAAAATTTGTATCTTGTAATACCTTTTTTATTGGACTAACAGAATTTTTTAATGACAAGCTTTTTCGGAAGATCCTCCCTTTCTCAAGTCTAAAGCATTTCTGAGAAAGACGACACATAGAATTCAAAGTTGAGTTATGATACAGGGGTTTTAAAAACCCCTTTCAGTACTTTGATTTTTAGGTCCTTGATTGAGTGGCCAGGCTGGGTAAAATGGTGTCCCACAGGATTACAGTAGGATTCTCCTTTGTGGTGTTTACTGGAGTATCTGTGCATCTTCATTCTGCCGTTTAATTGCTGGGTGGTTTCCCCAATGTAGCATACTACGTGGCATTTGGTGCATTGAATCATGTATACCATCTTACTGGATGTGCAGGACTACGATCCTTTAATGCTGTAGATTTTATTGTTGTGTGTGGCTGTGTTGTTTGTGCTGGCACAGTTTTCAGCAAAGTTTTTAGCATTGACTGGTCCATTTTCTTTATTCTTCCCATCAGTGGGCAGCTTCCTGTTGATTAATTTTTGTTAGAGGTTTGGTGGTTGTCTATAGGCCAAAATGGGTGTTTCAGAGAAAATGTTTTTCATAGTCTTATCTTCTGTTAACATTGTTGTAGGTCTTTAATGATTTTCTGTATTTCCTCAAGAGCTGGGTTGTAGGTGACCACAAGTGGTACTCGTGTAGATATTTTTTTCTCTCGGCACGTAGATGGCGCGTAGATGGAGTTTTTACTGCAGAGTTGATTTGTTTGGTAATAGTCTTTGGATGGAAGCCTTTCTGTCTCACAGATTGGGAGAGTATTCTGTAAACCAAGGTGTGGATTGTGCCATTGTTACATGTCACAGTGGCGTCCAGAAAATTCACAGATCTAGTAGAATATTCCATTTTTAGTTTGATTGATGGATGGAAGGAGTTAAAAGAGTCATGGAATTGTATCAGTTTTTCTCTGCTCTCAGTCCAAATTTTGAAGATATCATCGATATAGCCATAATGTTTGTATGGTTTGGTGTGCTGTATTTCTAGGAATCTCTGTTCTAGATCTGCCATAAACAGATTAGCATATTGGGGTGTCATCTTAGTACCCATAGCAGTGCACATGATTTGTAAGTAAACCTTGTTGTTAAAACTGAAATAATTATGTGTGAGTATGAATAGTGCCAGTTCTGTGATAATTCGGGGACTGTATTTTTGATTGTCGGCATAAGAGAGGAAATGGAAAAAAGCATCTAGCATGTAAGCTCATTGAGCAGGGTCCTCAACCCCTCTGTTCCTGTGTGTCCAACTTGTCTGGTTACAGCTACAACGTATTTAACATTGAAAGGCACATTCAGAATACTTTGGTTTTCAAGTACGTCCTGGGGATATTACCTTAGCCCCACAACCATGGGTTGTTACTATTACCCAATTTAATGGTACTCTTTTTATCTACCTCAGAAGGATGAAGGGCTGAGTCAACTGTGCCAGGATTTGAATCTGGGAACCAAGGGTTGAAACCAAGGGTTTAAAAAAAAATGGTGAGATGTGTCATCTTGCTCAGAAATGCTTTAGACTTGTAAAAGGGAGGTTCTCCCAAAAGCCTCTCTACAAGGACGATCAAAAACTTTGAAAAAGGTCCTTCGGAGGGTGCTGAGGCCAAATGGTAGCGCTAGGAACTGGAAGTGATCCTCCTTTATAGCAAACCTAAGGAAACATTGGTGATCTCTGGCTATTGGATGTGGTAATAAGCATCCCTCAGGTCGATAGAAACGAGAAAATCACTCTTCCGGATGGCTGGTGAGATGGATTTGAGTGATTCTAACATGAAGTATCTGACCTCTAGGTGTCTGTTGACCCTTCTGAGGTCTAAGATCAGCCTCCATTTCTCTTTGTTCTTTCTAACTATAAAGAGTGGAGAATACTGACCCCGGAACCGTTCTTCCTTTGGAACTGGTATGATGACCTTTTGGCTTGTGAGATTCTTGATGTACTCTTATAATGCCTTGGTCTTGTTTCTGTCTTTGGGGATACGAGTGACTATAAAGAAATTCCCTCTTGGTAGTCTTTGAAATTCCAGCCTGTAACCCATCTGGGTTATGGACACTACCTAGGTATCTCAGATGTTCTGAGTTCAAACCTCTTTGAATAGGGAAAGTTGAGCTCCTACCTCCAGCAGATAGACAGAAGTTCTTACCAGAGGGACAAAAAGGACTGGTTCCTGGCACGAATGGAGTGAGGAAAAAAAGACTGACCACCATGCCATGAGTTGCCCCTGTTGTACTCCTTCCCAGGATTGTAACTTCGACTATCTCTAAAATAGTGATCTCTGGAAGATCGTTTATCTGCCCATGAAGAGGCTGGTTTCTTGTTCTGGGATAAAAATACCTGTCAGCCCTCTGCTGCATTCTTTATGGATTCCTCTAGGGCTTTCCCAAAAAGCAGTTCACCATCAAAGGGGGTGGAGCATAGATTTGCCTTTGAAGAGGCGTCAGCTCCCCAATATCGCAGCCATAAAGCTCTCATTGCTGCCACTGACAGAACCATAGTACAGGAGAAAATTCTCTTAATATCCAGGGATGCCTTCACGAAGAATTCAGTTGATACGCGTAGATCCCAAATAGCATCACAAAGACTAGATCTCTCCATCCCTCTTTCAACATCTGAGTCTAGGTCTCTAATCCAGGTTTTCTTGGCACTGGATACAGCCATGAGAGCTACTGCGGGATGACATCCTGCTCCAGCTGCAGTGTAAATTGGATAGGTTAGAATCCAGCTTCTTATCCATGAGTTCCCGTAAGGAGGCAGAGCTATCCAGAGGTAGTGTAGATCATCTGGCCACCCTAGAAATAGAGGCATCTACCTTTGAAGGAGTCATCCATTTTTTGAAAATGGCTCCCTCCAATGGGTTAAGTCTTGACACTCTACTTAGTATAGGAACCCTCTTTTCTGGCTGTTCCTATTCTGCGGTGATCAAATCCTTGATAGACCTATGAAGGGGAAAGGAAAGCTTCTGTCTGTTAAGATCTAGGAGTGCTAATCTGTGCTGTCCACCTTAGGTAGACCTTCTGGTATCTCCAAAGTCTTCCTTACCATAAGGATGAGCTTGTCCATAGTTTTGGAATCAAGCGATTCAGATAGCATCTACTTCGTTCTCACTGGAGGCAATTTGATCCACGATCTGAAATTCTTCAGCTTGTTCCAGGTTTAAATCTGAGTCTGAAGACCCCGAGGATAGCTGTCTCGGGCTAGGTCTCTTCTCAGACCTCTTTCTGCCTTCCATGGCCTCTGAAATGCATTGGGCATTTTCTTTCCAGGATATCTGGCTATTGGACAGGTGTGGGTGAGGTAGCAGCGGCCAACTTCTGGATACAGAGTAGGCACAGCTGTTTACCTTCAACCGCTTTCCCCTCACACCCTGAACATGGATTAGCTTTCTCTTTCCTCTTCCTTGGGGGAGATATGGTCTGTCCATCATTACTAAAAGTAAGTAGAGGACAGATTTAGAGTAGATATTTAAAAAGCATATTTATATCAAATATGAGAACCCCCTACGCACCTAGATGCTGAAAGGGGAAATGGGTTCTTGGAGGGGAAGTCATAATGGCTACTAAAAAAACTAAAATAACGTCATAATATGGATATCCCCTAGTCATTACTATAAAGCACATAACCACAGAAGTAGGAAGGAAAATCATACCTGAGGCAATAGAAAACAAAGATACAGGCGCTTTAGAGATCCAGTACAGGCTCAAACATCCAGACCTAGCTTCAAAGTACTCAAGGTCTGTCAGAGGCCTATATATAAGCAAAGCAAAATAACTGACCTCATTTTCGGCCATACCGGCTTTTTCTCTTCTCAGACCTCTTTCTGCCCTCCATGGCCTCTGAAATGCCTTGGGCAACTTCTTTCCTGATCCAAGCCAGGACATCTGGCGATTGTACAGGTGAGGCTATGGTAGCGGCGGCCAACTTCTGGATACACAGTAGGCACAGCTGTTTAGCTGTTTACCTTCAACCGCTTTCCCCTCACACCCTGAGCAAGGATTAGCTTTATTTCTTCTCTTCCTAAGGGGATATTTGGTATGTTCATCATTACTAAAAGTAGGTGGAGGACAGATTTAGAGAAGGTATTTAAAAAGCATATTTATATGAAATATGAGAACCCATACTCACCTAGATACTGAAAGGGGGAAATGGGTTCTTTGAGAGGAAGTCAGAATGGGCTACTAAAAAAACAAATAAGCATCATAATATGAATATCCCCTAGTCATTACTATAAAGCACGCAACTACAGAAGTAGGAAGGAAAATCATACATGTGGCAATAGAAAACAAAGATACAGGCTTTTGAGATCCAGTACAAGTTCAAACATCCAGATCTAGCTTCAAAGTACTCAAGGTCTGTCAGAGGCCTATATAAAAGCAAAGCAACATAACTGACCTCATTTTCGTCCATACTGGCCTTTTCTACAAAGATGGCCACTGTGACTTACCATACCCACAGCTTGTGATTTTAGCGCCAACTTTATAAATGCGCAAGCTGCGCATGGTCAGCGATACCACCGCTTGTTCCGATCCGTGTGAGCACCTAGGGAGCAGGGGAACTGAAGAGAAGCTAGCAGAGTTCAGGAACATGTCCTCAGGTCCCCAGGCAGCGTCCAGAATAACAAAGATGGCTTCCTCAGCATAGGTACTCAATATAAAGCAAACATAAACAAAGAAATAGCCCCCCCATATCCCCACTGTCACTCTCCTACAAACTGCCACACCCCACTGTCACTCTCCCTCATACTGCCCCCTCACACTGTCACCCTCCCCAAACACTGCCCCCCTACACTGTCACACTCCCCAAACATTGATCCCCAACACACTGCTCCCCACCGACATCCCCCACTCCCACCCCACACTGTCACCTTCCCCCACACTGTCACTGTTAACAACTCGACCAGGCCCCTTCTGATCTTCAGGGAGTGCTGGGAGGAAGTGATGTCACTGACAGACCCAGTCGCACCGGACACAGACAAAAGCGGGCAGACGGGGAGAGGAGCAAGCCCCCAACTCCCAACAGCCACCCTCCTGCACCCAAAGGTTAGAAAACAGAGGGTTCGCTAAAATCTGTATGTATGTATCTGTGTGTCATTGTTTGTATCTGTGCATTTGCACGGTGGCAGTGTTTGTATCTGAGTGTATGCACATCTGTTTGTGTGTCAGTGTTTGTATCTGTGTATCTAAATATGTGGCAATGTGTGTACATATGTATATGTGCCAGTGTTTGTACCTCTGTGTCTTTATGTGTGTCTGTATCTTACATATATTATATATGAGTCAATAGCATCCTGTAACAAATATAAGTGTGCTAATAGGCTTGTAAAATGGAAGTTAGATGTGCTAAACTATAAAATGAAAAGCTCATAGCCATGGAGAGCAAGACCAACCCCAAAATGTTATTTTAAGTACATTAGTGCCAAAAAGGTTAAGAGTGAAAATGCTGGTCCACTGGAATTTGAGAGGGATGTGTCAATCAAGGAGGACTAGAGCAAAGTAGAATTTTTTCAATATTTTCTTTTCTTCAGTATATAGTTACATAGTTACATAGCTGAAAAGAGACTTGCGTCCATCAAGTTCAGCCTTCCTCACATTTGTTTTTTGCTGTTGATCCAAAAAAAGGCAAACAATAAAAAAAACAGTTTCAAGCACTTCCAATTTTGCAACAAGCTAGGAAATTCCTTCTTGACCCCAGAATGTCAGTCAGATGTCTCATTGGATCAAGCTGCTATTACCCCACTAATTAGAAATGATATCCCTGTATGTTATGTTTTTGCAAGTATTTATCCAATTTCAGTTTAAACATCTGAATGGACTCTGATAAAACCACCTCTTCAGGCAGAGAATTCCATATCCTTATTACTCTTACTGTAAAAAAACCTTTTCTTTGCCTGAAATGAAATCTACTTTTTTCCAGCCTAAATGTGTGACCTCGTGTCCTATGTATAGCTGTTTATGAATAGATTTCCAGACAATGGTTTGTACTGGCCCCGAATATATTTGTATAATGTTATCATATCCCCTCTGAGGTGCCATTTTTCCAAACTAAAGAGATTTACATTTTTTAACCTTTCTTCGTAACTAAAATGCTCCATTCCTTTTATCAATTTTGTAGCTCGTCTCTGCACTTTTTCTAGTGCCATTACATCCCTCTTTAAAACAGGTGACCAAAATTGCACAGCATATTCAAGGTGTGGTCTTACCAGCGATTTATAAAGAGGCAAAATTATATTTTCATCCCGAGAATTTATGCCCCTATTTATAAATGACAAAACCTTACTGGCCTTAGCAACTGCAGATTGACATTGCATATTGCTGCCTAATTTGTTGTCTATAATAATTCCCAAATCCTTCTCATGTGGGGTTATCCCTAATTCACTACCATTTAGGGTGTAAGTTGCTTGTGCATTCTTAACCCCAAAGTGCATAACTTTGCATTTCTCTATGTTAAATTTCATCTGCCATTTTAGTGCCCAATCCCCCAATCTATCCAAATCCCTCTGCAGCAAAGCAATATCCTGCTCACATTTTAGTACTTTACAGAGTTTTGTGTCATCTGCAAACACCGAAACATGGCTTTCAATGCTCATTTCAAGATCATTTATAAATATGTTAAAAAGAAGCGGTCCTAAAACAGAACCCTGAGGGACACCACTTACCACTTTTGTCCAGCCTGAAAATTTACCATTAATGACAACTCGTTGTACTCTATCCTTAAGCCAATGTTCTACCCAAGAACAAGAAAAATCATCTAGACCAATTTCTTTTAGTTTGCAGACTAACCTTTTATGAGGAACCGTATCAAATGCCTTGGCAAAATCCAAGTAGATCACATCCACTGCAACACCCTGATCTATACTTCTACTTAGTAAGGAGGAATCTATGGCTGTATTTTTTTCAAATGCATGTTACAAAAACCTTACAGCAAATCCATGTTACAAAAGCCTTACAGCAAACAGGGGAAGTGCTTTAGTAAATAAATAATGCTAATGTAAAAAAAGCCCAAGGGGCAAATGGTAATCACCTACATGGACTTAGGAAGCTTAGTGAAGAAATACACATATCACTATTTTAAACCTTTCTCGATCACTTTCTTTCAGAAATCAGAGGATTGGAGAAAAGCTGATGTGGTGTCTATATTTAAAAAAAAAATAGATAAAAGCTCAAACCAGAATCTACAGAAATGTGGACTATCATTTAATACAGATATGTTTTAGTACCTATGAATGTAGCCTGTCCGTTTTGACTACCCATCTACATCCTTCTTTTATAACCGATGTTAAGTTGACTGTTAATATATTTATGAAAATCTGGGTTATGCCTTTATATATGATGCCTATGTAAACAATATTCGATCATATGCAAATGTTGTATCTTCTAATGTGTGGAAAATAAACAGAAATTAAACACGAGAAAAATAATAATGTAATATCCTAACTTCCTCATGACCACTTGACTATTTAAACACATGATCCTTTGCACTCACAGTGTGTCACACTGAGATAAAAGCTGTATTACTAGTGTGCATTTAAATTCGATTTATTGATATATTTGATCCCAGTTTCTCCCTTTATCCTCAATTTCCTTACTATTATTATTAAATGTATATAGCGCCAACAAATTCCATAGCACTTTACAATGGGTGACTAGTTTCTGACTGCTGGCTTCCATTCCATCTCCAAGCTTACTGATTAGATGTCGTGCTTTAGTAAATACAGGCATACCAACGCAAGCTTCTGATTACCAACTCCAGTACACATCCTACTGACTTGGTACTGAGCTTCTGGAAATCCTGGTATTAAAGTCTTTGGCTGGATAATGCATTTTGTGTGCTGTGTACTACCCCAGTTAGATTTATAGGTTTATGATTTGGACTTGACATAAATACTCCCTTCTGTTCTAATTCTCAACATATCAATAAAAAAAAACAACAAAAAAAAACAGATTCTCCGATCCATGACAAATTATTTTTGTAGGTCTACCTGACTGATTTCCACAATAGTAAGCACTATTGAATCTCAGTTTACCCAGCTTTTGCATCACAAAAACTTTGCTGCTTCTCATGCTACTTGCAATGTTACTGAACTAACTCATCACAATTGTTACATGTAGCAAAGATGTTAATTATCTAAGTAATTGTTTTTTGCTCTTAGGATACAAACAAAAGTCTGTTAATTTAAAAAAGAACACATATCATCCCTTTGACCTAACAGAAAACATGGATCAATAATGTTGTATACTTTCTGACAAGTTACAAAAATAAGAATCTTATGCCCAGAAGATTCTTCTTTTAACTCACATTCCACTTTTAATGCTGGTGTATGGTTTGATATTTAAAGGGCATCTGTAGGCACTGTAACTGCTTAACTCATTGAAGTGGCTATAGTATCTGAAGTCCACTAGTACAGCCCTTTCATTCAAACAGTTGTTGTT